AGAAAAAGGAGTCTAACCTTGGACTCGCCGAGTCCCAAGAACGACTCGCCGAGTCGATGCAGTCCAGGTCTTATTTCTTCGATTTCTGGAGTGCAAATCTTGTCCAAATGATAGATCTAGGTCCCTAAACTCAATCTAGCACGTAAAGTTACAAACTTTACGTGCATGCATGGGACTTTGAGCCTAAAATGCCCAAAAAGAAGCTCTTAAGATGCATGGGACCTTCCATGGGTGCAAAAGCAACCCCTAACTGCCTTGTGACCCTTCCATGGACCTAGATCCGAAGCCTCAACCCCCAACCATGCTTGCAATCATGGTTGGCTACCAAGAATGACTTATAAAAGCCCTAAATCTCCCCAAAAAGGGATCTAACAAAAGAACAAGCAAGGGTAAACTTTATACCTTCTGAGAACAGCAAATGATGCACCAAACTCGAATCCTTCAGTCTCCTCTCTTATCCTTCTATGCTCTTCCTTCTTCCTTGTGATCAAAATCCACCAAAATCACTCAAAAGCCTTGAATCTTGCACCAAAACACTTAGGGTTTGCTAGGGAGGGTTTCTGGGAGTAATAGGGACGAGTGGGGGCTGAATGAGATGATTAAATAGGGTGCAAACCCTCATATTAGGGTTTTTGTCCAGACATAGCCTACTCGTCGAGTCCAGGATCCGACTCGACGAGTCCCATACTTAAACCCCGCGTTCTATCCCGCTTCTACTCGGCGAGTTGGGCCATCAACTCGCCGAGTCCTAGGCCAAAAATGTAAAATTACATAAATAAAATACATACCAGGAACCAGGTGCTACATCTTCATTCTTGGTGAAGTTTCCCGGTCGTTCACGACTTTAAAGGCAGCATCGAGTGGTGGAACGACAACGTTTGTCGATGAGGCAGCAGGCGGAACCGGGCTGTCGGACTCGGTGATGCAAATGGTGGCTGAGGAGGGCTTCTATGATGGTGGCGGCTGCAGTTGCTTGTGTTAGGGTTAGGGTTAGACGGGTGGTGATGGCTATATACCCCCGTCCCATTTCATCTTTTGCCATAATGACGCTTCCAGTCCCTCCTTTCCATTTTTCTTTAAAACTCAGTCCATATGTTACCTTTTAAACCCCATCTTCTGAAATCCCTTACAAATAAAGTCTGAAATTTACCAATCAGCCCCTCTTTTACATATTGTTCTCAAATGAAGCCCATATGTTACCATTCAGCCCTTAAGCTTCCAAAATCTCTTCAATTTGAGTCCCAATAATTCACCAATTAGTCCCTTATCTTCATAAATATTTACGAAACTAATCCGAAACTTACACTTTAACCCCCGACTTCTAAAATTGTAACCTTTGGCTCCCGAAAACCAACACCCCACTAAAAATTATGGATTTTAGGGCTACTATTCATATTAATTTAATCTATTTATTTATTTACTAAATGAGGTGTTACACCTACTTATAGAGTAATTTGCCAAACAAAGCTTTAGTTGGTGTGGTGATTCATACCTCTCCCAACGAATTGGCTTCATATTGTTCCATTTCACCTTCGGATCATGGGTTGAGTACTAAAACTACAATTTGTCTTCATTGTCACCCTCACTATCACTCAGCTTCTCCTGTGGTGCTTCATCTTCCGAGATTCCTTCAAAATCATTAAGGTTTATCTCAGTTATGGTGCATTCGTCAAGCACTTCGTCTGTGAGAGTGTTTAGGAACTCATTTTTGCATCGACTTCTTTGTTTCTATTTGAAAACTCATCCAATTCCACGTCAATGGTATCCAAGTCATTTACTGTCTCCATTATCACTACAAAACAAAAATTAATCAAATATTATAAGGGAAACAAGATACTGGAGGACCACGTGGATTTTCTTACCTTTGATTTTTTTGAGGTAGGGTTTTGCTTCGATGGAGGGTAAGAAAGGGTTTTTACAGAGGAGTGGATGACGGGGAGGTTAATGGAGGGTGATAAGGGTGAGTCGGCTGGTAACCTGTCCTTTTTCATAAGTGAAAATTAATTTAGGACTAAATCATAAACTGGGGGAAATTTTTGGGACTTTTCCGTAGATTTCCCTTATAAAAACTAGGGAACTAATTGAGAATTAACTAAGTTGGAAAAAAAACTATGACATAAAGTTTTATCAATTAACAGTTATAAGAAAACTAATATAAAAAAGGATGTAATAATCCTCAGATTAATTAATATTTGATCAAACATTGTTGAATCGATTTAATCAAACAAAAAATGAGCCATTGCCAAGTTTAGAATGAAAGAAACTAACCGAAGTCAATTCGGTTTTAGGTTTTTAGTTCAATTTGAAATGTTATATTCTACCTTTTGTTTTTTTAATTGAAGTAATTGCTTTCAAGTTGAATAGAAAAGTTGAGTCGATTAGTCAATTATATTAAACATTTTTATTTGAAAAATAGTATATTATCTAAAATCTAAAATATAAATTTTAGTAAAGGAGGACAATCCATCCATTAAATTTTATTAATAAAAATAATTAAAACAATTGTATGCTCATGACTCTTTACCTATGAAAAAGAAAGGGCCCCTAAGACATCCATACGAGCCAAGACAACCTAAACATATCATAAATCCAAAAGAAATGAGGCCATAAGAGGCTTTGAGTCCTGATACAATAACTTGAAAAACGTTAACAACAAAATGTAGGAACAAACAAACCCGTAAACCGAGGTTCAAGGTTGGTACTCATTGGTGACATCTTCATTCTATATATGAAGGTTCTAAATGACCTTTGCTTTATCGACATTCGGGGAGGGCTTGAAAGTCAGACCGACGAATCACGAACGGACATCATCAATAATGGTTATGACCGTTGTTTAATAAGACCTTCTCTTATTCTTGAAGATTTGTTGTTTCTTTCGATCCATAGGTTATAGACAATTCATGTAAAGCACTAATATGCAAATAACAGACCAAATGATTCTTAACTTTTATGGCTCGTTTGAAAATGTTGATGATCCATAGGTAGTAGATGGTTCTTGCAAGCACTAAGATTCATTTTGTTTTTCATGCCATGCCAACCATATGAGGGCTAGGAATATTTAACAAAAAGATGGTTAAGAGAACAAAGGAATAGATTACAAAAACTATATATGGGATTTTGATGGGGTTCCCAAATACAAATCTTATCATAGGTTTTGAGGCGGTCATTAAGGACCACCCATAAGATGAACAGATGATAGGGAGTGTTTTGAGAGAACTACACAAGATGATGCCAATAGACAACATGTTCCTCGGGGTAGATACTAAGCGAGACAACCCTAACAAAGAATGGAAAGGAAACACCCCCCTTATTTATCTAATGAAGTTTATCAATAATAGAAGGAGAAACAATGAGAGGTGTGTGATCACTAAGTGCAACATGGGTGTCACACAAGAGGTTAACCCAAGTACTACTGCAGACAAGGTATTTGACTGTAGCATCAAGGGGGAAACTCGTTTGATTGGCAATACATGGAGTCAAAAACCGAGAAAGAGGACCGACACGATGCGTCGATGCTAGTTGTCATTCTAAGTAGAGACATAGTTGTCATCATGGGAGACAATGAAGTCTCTAATCTTATTATGCATAACAAGGATATTCCCCCACCCCCTACCGGTACCACTATTAATTGGGACATCCCATAAGTTACAATCGGTAAGTTTGTAAGAGAATATTCATTTGATCCAAACAGAATCGTTAGGATCATCCAGGTATATGAGTCCATAAACACAATATTCCATGTAGCCAAGTCTTTTAAGCCAAGCCCGCTTTGGGTCTTAAGGAGAATCATAGGTCTTAAGGAGACACATACTTTTCCAAAAGATTCACTTAAATTTACAAGGGAAAATGACTTATGTGGGTAATTAACTATTTACTTTGTATTCAGTTGGTCACTTTTCTTTTTTTTTTGTATCTGATTTACCATTAAACTTATTGTAGGTGTTCACAGAAACCATTGAAACCGGCTATTGAAGGTTTCCGGCAACTTCTTATCTCCGGCGACTCTCCGGTCGTCTTCTCTGGCGAGCCTTCGGCAAAAATGATTTACCATTAAAATTATCAGCAAAACAAAGGGTAATTTTGGAGATTCCGTTACACTGCCAGGGTTGCGTTCGGAAGATTCATAAGGATTTGGTGACTGTGAAAGGGGCAACTGATATGAAGATGTTGGCGGAGGTTCTGAAGCAGAGACTGAAGAGGGTGGTGGAGATAGTTCCTGCGAAGAAAGATGGCGGTGATGAGAAGAAAGGGAAGGGTGGCGGTGGTAACGACGGAGAGGAGAAAGGCGGTGGCGGTGGTCAGAAGAAGGGGAAGAAAGGTGGTGGCGGAGATGACGGAGACGGAAACGACGAATCTAGGGTTGCCATCGTCTTCAATTTTGGGCATAGCAGGCATTGGGCGTTGGAACTCACGAGCTTGCATTCCTTTTTTCCCTTTTGCTTCAACCACCATTAATCTCTTTCCTTGATTCTGCTGCTGCTTCCTTTGAATTTGCGATGAACAAAACAAGTGTCTGATTAAGTTGGAATCATCGATGGTAAATCATTTTTGTCGGAGGCTCGCCGGAGAAGACGACCGGAGAGTCGCCGGAGATAAGAAGTTGTCGGAAACCTTCAATAGCCGGTTTCAATGGTTTCTGTGAACATCTACAATAAGTTTAATGGTAAACCAGATAAAGAAAAAAAGAAAAGTGACCAACTGAATACAAAGGAAATAGTTAATTACCCACATAAGTCATTTTCCCAAATTTACAATCACAAATGTGGCTCTAACTTTACCAATCAAAATTTGAAGTTGTTTTCTAAGTTTGTTTTACAGTACAAAATTTCAAAACAAATAAACTGAAGTCCAGAAACCAAAATACGAAATTAAGTTATGAAGTGTAGGTTAATAGAAGTATTTATGGGCGATTGCTCTTATTAAATAACTAAAGTTCTAAAATATTAATTAAAAAGTATATTTATTAATATTTTTATAAGTATTGGTTAAAAAAAGAAGAATGTCAAAAGATAGGTTGTTCCGTGGCTGTCGCCGTATATGTTGAAGATGCTTTTCTCTTGCCGTCTCGTCTTTCATACACGGTCTCCTCTGCCCGCTTCACTATTTCAATCCCATTGATCGACCATCCTTTTCAATATCTGTAATTTAATTCCACTTCTTAATCTCAAATCGCAACAAAGAACCCTAGACTTCTCCCTTCTCCTAATAATCATCAAACAATTCATCATTATTCAAACCGTTTGACTTTTTTTTTCCATATATCATCGCAATCATGTCCTTTTCGGTGTAAATTTCTTCAGTATTTCGATCAATTTGAGAAATTTGTAGCTCTAAGATCGTTGAACTCGTCAAGGAAGAAAATATTAAATTTGAGGATTAGGGTTTTATACAGCGATTGATGGAAACAGTGGGTGGGGGTGTTGGTGTTGGTGTTGCCACAGCGAATTCTGATAGCTATACTGGGAATAATTCAAATTCGGTCTCATCAAATCCTTCATCTCCGGCGACTAGGGGCGCTGGTGGTAGCATCAGTTCTTCCCGAAGGTCGACGTCGTCTTCTGCGTTTCCTATAGTCCGCTTCTTACAAGCTCCTGTGACTACTTTATTTGAATATTCGGGTTTTCTACGACCTAGGTCAAGCAACGATAATCATGAATCCGAGAGCTTGATTCCACACCATCATAATCATAGTTCGAGTGATTCCAGTACGGCTTCTAGTAGCGATGGTAGTAATAAATGAAGGGGAGGTTTCAATTCGGATAATGGGTGACGGAGAGCAAGAAGAGGGACATGGTGACGACGGTGGAGAATCCGCTGTCATAGGCGGAGATGGTGGGGGTAGAGAGAGGGAGATGGCCGATTCTAGTGATGTGGATGTCAGGAGTGGAGCTAATGGGAGTAATAGTAACAGTGATTCATCAAATCAACAAAGGTATGACTTGCAGCAAGTTTCGAGGTGGATTGAGCAGATTCTTCCGTTCTCCTTACTCTTAATTGTCGTGTTCATTCGTCAACACTTGCAAGGTACTCAAAGCTGAAACTAACCCTATACTTTCTACTTTGAATATCTGCTCTTTTCCAAATACCATTGCTGATTACTCATTCATGATTGATTTTAGGTTTCTTTGTAACAATCTATGTAACTGCTTTCATGTACAAGTCAAATGACATTCTTCGAAAGCAAACAGCTTTAAAGGTATGAATACCACTAATACTAAATGATTATAAGTTTATAACACACCCATTAAGCTTAATAATTGATAAATTTCACAGGGGGAGAGAAAACTTTCTGTTCTCATAGGCTATAGTATAATCTTCACACTTCATGTAATTGGAGTATACTGGTGGTATCAAAACGATGATCTTAGTTCCCCATTGTTAATGGTTCCCCCAAAAGCAATCCCACCATTCTGGCATGCCATTTTTCATAATAATCGTAAATGGTATGAAATTTATTGCATTATTGCATCTTTAATAAAGATTTTATGATATGTCATATGAAAATTCATCGTCTTTAGATACAATGGTACGACAAGCAGCAATGACTTTAAAGTTAGTACTTCTTATGTACTATAAAAATGGCAGGGGTCATAATTTTCGTAGACAGGTGATTTAATTTAACTTAATTTACGTGTTTCAATTTCAAACTTTCTAATGGCATTTTTGGTATTTTAGGGTCAAATGTTGACTTTGGTCGAATATGCCCTTCTGTTATACCGTGCGTTTTTACCTGCTCCAGTTTGGTACAGATTCTTTCTGAACAAAGAATACGGGAGCTTGTTTTCTTCTTTGATCACAGGGCTATATTTGACTTTTAAGCTTACATCAATAGTGGAGAAGGTATTATTGGCAATAATTATCAATCATCTGTCTTTTAGTGAAAATGGGTATTATTAATGTATTTCCTGTTTTGCCCCTGTAGGTTGGTTCCTTCTATGCTGCAATGAAGGCTTTATCACGAAAAGAAATGCATTATGGATCATATGCAACATCAGAACAGGTATTACATCACAAAATCATTCATTTATTAAATTAAAAATAGAAAAGTATGTTTTTTGTTTTGATATTTTTAAGGTTTCTTACTAGGTAAGTGAGGCAGGAGACATGTGTGCTATTTGCCAAGAAAAAATGCAAGCTCCAATATTGCTGTGTTGTAACCACATCTTCTGTGAAGATTGTGTTTCAGAATGGTTAGATATACCTTTTTCTATATAAATACATACATACATATATACATACATACATGCATACATACATACATACATACATAGATGTTGATGAGTTTTGATGTGTGTAGGTTTGAAAGAGAGAGAACGTGTCCTTTATGCAGAGCTTTAGTAAGACCAGCTGATATACGATCATTTGGTGATGGATCAACGAGTCTTTTCTTTCGATTATTTTAAATGTTGTTCATCAACACACAAAATGTTCTGAAATCGGTTTCTTGGTAATTCTTTTGGGGAATTCTTTTTTCTTTTAAAGTTGTACAGATGAGGGTTTTAATGTTATTTACTGAAAAATATATGTTGTGATGGGATAATATGCAAGGGGATTCTTTAAGGCCCTTTTACTTGCATTTTGTTAATATTTTGTATCTTGGAATACCTTTTGTTTGTATTTCATAAGTACAATAGGTAATTAGGTATTATACTACAATACCAATAACAATACCCATAGGTTTTTTCCATAGATGAACTCTTACATAAGAAAAAGAAATACGAGTTTGTCTAGTATGATTTCTTGCATATTAAGCATATCATACCACAATGAAGAAAAAAAGAAAAAAAAAAGTGGTTGGTTAATGGTTAAAGGTAAAATAATGAGCAATCTATGAATACACAAATAAATGGAAGCATATAATACTAGCAATACTATATGGACCATATACTATAAAATATAAGTTGAAAGTAAAGATGGAACAAGGGCCGGGTGGCAAACACAAATAATGATAAAGATTCTATTACATAGACTACAATCATAGTGCCAAACTAACTTGATAGACAACAAAGATTTCAATAATATTGTTTGTACTTCATCATCAAATTTAATGTCAAAGATTTTAATCAAATTTAATGTCAAAGATTTTAATAACATTGTTTGTACTTCATCATCAAATTTAATATTTTAATAACATTGTTTGTACTTCATCATCAAATGCACTTCATACATTCTTATATCTTTATATTGATTAAAAAAAAAAAAAAACCTTATTCTTAGACAACTAAGTCAATCCAACATATCTCAATCTTGTTAATTCATATTCTCATTATTGTAATGAAAAAAATAATCCCCTACCTTTTTGTTTCTACTCATATAATAATGACATGTGAAATCTATTAATTCATTCTTTTAATCAGTTCTCTTGATTTTGACACTTGTTTTGAACTAGTGAATAAGAAGATGAGTATGAACAAAAGATAGGAAGATATTTGATTTCTCGTTTGTAATTTGATAGTATGGTTCATGGAGCTTTTTCTTGTACATGTAAATGTGTAATCCTTAATAAGCCGTAAGCATCTTCCAAAATCCATAATTGTAGCTGTCAAACTTGTCAAACATGTTAATCTCAACTTTCCCTTCCGTGATCATACTGATCATAACTTTAATGGGTTAATGACCTAGGAGGGTAATAAGGTTTTAACTTTGTCCACATTAGGTCCTTAAGGTTTTTTTATGTGAATATTACACCAACATGGTTGTTATAACCGTTTAAAAAGGGTAATAAGGTTTTAATTTTGTCCACATTAGGTCCTTAAGATCTTTTTTTTTGTACATATTACAACAACATGGTTGTTATAACCGTTTAAAGAGGGGTAATATGGTTTTTAATTTTGTCCACATTAGGTCCCTATTTTTAATATTTTTATCATTTCATTTAACTCTTTTACAATTTATATTACTATCATCATTTCATCATTTCCTTGTAGTTACCCATTCACCACAACCACAATTTCAATTGAAAGGTTACATAACAATTTTTTGTCATTTTTACAAATAATAATAATAATAATAATAATAATAATAATAATAATAAATAAAAAAAATAAACTAGTCTAAATAGCTTTTTAAAACACTAGCTTATAAGCTACTTTTTGGCTTGCCAAACATAACAACTTAAAAAAAAAGATCGAAAAATAAATTAGTTTATCAGCTAGCTGTGGCGCGCCAAACATAGCCTTAATCATTAAGACTTTGATTATTATTAGTTTTTCTTTTTTTTTTTGTAAAAATGACAAAAAGATTGTTATGTAACTTTTCAATTGAAACCGTGGTTGTGGCGAATGGGCGACTAAAATGAGAAGATGAAATGATGAAGTCATCTAACTAGATACTAATATAAATTGTAAAAGAGTTAAATGAAATGATAAAAATATTAAAAATAGGGACCTAATGTGGACAAAATTAAAACCTTATTACCTCCTCTTTAAACGGTTATAACAACCATATTAGTGTAATATGTACAAAAAAAACCTTAAGGACCTAATGTGGACAAAATTAAAACTTTATTACCCTTTTTAAACGGTTATAACAACCATGTTGGTATAATATTCACAAAAAAAACTTTAATGACCTAATATAGACAAAATTAAAACCTTATTACCCTCCTAGGTCATTAACCCTAACTTTAATATCAATTGTTAGCATTAAAATTGGCACATACATACACAAATTAAGATGTGAGGAAATTAAGGAACGCAAGTTAGTGTGATTCACATGATTAGGCGATTGTGTTACGTCTATAACTAGGGGATGCACACCCCACACGTTGTTGTGGAAAGTTTATCTATATAACAAAGTTTTTTTTGGTTTGAGAAGACGAATATGTAAAATAAATATATATGTTTTTACAACCCTACATGCATGAAAACGAATTTATAAAAAAAAATTGAAAAAATGTTACCACTAACCAACGAAAACTAAGAAATTCATGGTTTTCGGGCAGAACCCTATGGATTATATTGGCAAATATTAGTTTACTTTAGCAAATCATATGACTGTAGAAAAAGCTTCTTATTTTTAAGAATTGAAAAATATCTTTTTTCTATTTAATATATTTGTTTGGTGTGTTCCTCATAGAAAGTTGTAAAAAAGATGTAAAAAGTTGTGCAAAAAATATAAAAGATAAGTTTTAAAAACATAAAATTCAAAGTTGTAAAAAATGAGAAAATTTGTAAAAAATGGTTTGAACGAATTCATAAAAAAAGATGTACAAAAAAAAGTTATAGGAACGTAAGTTTTAAAATAATATAAAAAGATAAAGTTGTGGAAAATTTGTATCCTATAAATTGTTTTTAATCAAATTGGTAAACATTTAACATTGGGCTAAAATTGTAGAAGTAGTAAACCAAGTTCGTAAAAATAATTATATGTTGAAACGAAACTATAAAAAAAATGGACTAAAAGTGTAAAAAAAAAAAGTTATAGGAACTATAAATGGGTCCAGAACTAGGTGAGTCTGGTTGGGTGGGTTCGACCAGGTTGATGGGTTCAAATAACCCCGGATTTTTTACCCGCGTCTAAAAAAAGAATGTTATCTTGCAACTTGCAAGGGATCAAATCCTTGTCCCCTTGTTGAAGGGGTGATGTTCTTAAATCTTACCGCTAAGTTGCTACTCATTTCATTTAAAAGTTGGCACAAAAAATGATATAAACAAATGTCGGAAATACTTTGCAAATTGTAAGGCTGGAGGGAGTGATGCCACCGAAATCGCACTCACTCCCCCGCCACATAAGCGTCACGTCATTTTTTACCACATAAGTGTGGTTTCTAGCCACACCAAAGGAGTGGTGCCACACTTTTATTTTTTTATTTTTTTTGTTTTTTTAGCTATTTTAAGTAAAACTTCTTTTTTAATAAAAAAACATAATTTTTCATTACTTGAAAATTAAAAAAAACATTACATTAAAAATTCAAAAAACATTACATCGCATTACACAAAAAAAAAACGACATTAAAATAATCCTAAAAACTTAAAAAACAAATGAAGATCGAAAGAATATGACATTTTTGAGAGAGCTTGGTGATTTTTTTTTAAAAAGATTGAGAGAAAAGGTTGTATTGTGGTTAAAAACAAATGAAATGTATATGTATATATAAGAAATAAAGGCAAAAGAGGAAAAGAAAAAAATAAAAAAAATAAAAGCACAAAAGCATTCAACGGTCAAATATACCCCCAACCAATCACAGACCACGGTATTCTATAGCCGCAGTGCGACCAAAACCGCACAAGACCGCAGCCTGGGGGCGGTGTGCGCGGTCCATGTGGCACAAACCGCGGTCCCAACCGCGGACACCCTTTAGCCTAAGGGTTATGTTTGAAGCCCATAGGCCTAGCCTGATTGACCCGTTGCTGGTCAAAGCCCGTTCGCCCACATCCGGGCTTTTTGTGCACTTCTACTGTATTAAGTCCAACTGTCTAAGTATAAAACGACATCATTTAGGCGAAGAATCCCGTGGAGTACTAAACGGCCTTATAAACCAAATCTTGGACGCAGACGAAGCAGCATCGGTGGTTGGTTCCCGCCGAATTGTACTCCGACTCTTGATTTTGATTGTTGATGCAATATCGTTTGAAGAATAGATTCAGTTCCCAATGATTTCGAGCGTATCTGTAGTATATAACCAGTTCGTGTTCCCAGGCCAGCCGGCGCATCTAAAGTTCCCGGTAATTCAACTGAAACCATCGGCGTTGCAGTGCGAACTTGACAGAAAACGCCATTCCTCTATCATAACTGCAGCATCCTCTTCATTCGTTGGCTCCGGCGCTGAATATTCTGGTAATTTCTGCTCCCTCAATCTCCATAAAGGAGTGTATTACTCGAAATTTGAAAATTAGGGATATCTTTACTGCGTTGAGATGTAAATTGCTTCAAATCAATATAATGTTAATTAATCCATTACAAATTAGTCGTTTCCAGAGCCATTTCCAACAACACAGAAGAAGAAAGCAAGGAGAATAGTTGGCATAGACCAGGATGAATTAGTGGATCCCAAACTTTTGGCTGATTCAGACAGTTGTTTTTGCGAGTTTGAAGGATTACAACTACACCATAAGATATGTGATCCAGAATCCGAATCACAAGACTCAGTACATGATGATGCCACTTCTGATTCATCTCTCCATAAGGAAAAACTTAAGTTCCCATTGATATTATTACATGGATTTGGAGCCTCTTTGTTCTCTTGGAAGACAGTTATGAAACGTTTGGCAAAGGTTTCTGGTTCAAAAGTTTTATCATTTGATAGACCTGCATTTGGGTTGACATCAAGAGTAGATAATCCTTCAAATCGTACACCTTCTAGCAAAGATGCAAAGCCACTTAATCCATATTCCATGGCATTCTCTATACTTGCAACTTTGTACTTCATTGATTTCTTGACTTCTGAGAAAGCAATTCTTGTCGGGTAATTATACACAGTTTCTTTGACTTTCTCTATTAAGTTGTTCTTTCTGTATTAAGTTAAAAAGAAACAACACCTAACTTTAACAATGGCAATGAAATGCAGGCATTCTGCTGGTTGCCTTGTTGCAGCTGAAACATATTTTAAAGCACCTGAACGTGTTGCTGCAATGATTCTTGTTGCCCCTGCAATCATAGCTCCATTGACTTCCTCCAAGAAAGTCAAAGCAAATAACCAACAAGAAAGTTCAAATTCAGATAATCCCAAAACTCCATTTTTTAATCTGTTAAAAATTATCTCAGACTTCTCCAGATTCATACTGAGTCTGTTCAAAGGAATGGTCAATATGGTCAACTCCCTGTACAAGAAAGCTTTATCTGCTTTCCTTCGATCCCATATTGCAGTAATGTTGGTAATGAGAATGAGACTACTCTAATACATTAAATCTCATCTTAAATTTCAAAATTTTATGGTTGACCATGTGATTTGTTTGACTTTTTTTAGGTAAGGATGGTTATTGATAAATTTGGGATATCTGCCATTAAAAATGCTTGGTATGATGCAAGCAAAGTTACTGACAGTGTTCTTGAGGCTTATACTAGAGTAAGCATGTTTATTTTTCCCCAAAAAACAAAAAAGAAAAAAAGAAAAACATTTTGCATTTGTGTTTGTGTTTGATTTGTTTATGATTATTTTGTAGCCATTGAGAACAAAAGGTTGGGATAGGGCGCTTGTGGAATTCACTGCAGAGATGCTTACTACTTCAGTGTCTGAATCAAATCCACCATTAACAGAAAGATTGAATGAAATATCATGTCCAGGTTTCAATACTTTCCTTATCTTTTTCATTTGATGTTTTTTTTTCTATATTATTTTTTCTTAAATATAAAATAAATTTATGTGGATTATTAAGGCTTAATGATTTATTATTGAAACAGTTTTGATCATAACGGGTGATAGCGACCGTCTAGTACCTTCTTGGAACGCGGTGAGGCTTTCACAAGCGATTCCCGGATCTCGTCTTGAAGTAATAAAGAATTGTGGGCATTTGCCTCATGAGGAAAAGCCACATGAGTTTTTGACAATTGTTGATGACTTCTTGACAAGTGCTTTTCGTAGAATAGAATCACAACCATTGCAACAAGCAATATAAAGTTACTTATAAAATGTATATGCTAGATTTTATTATTTAATGACATTAAAGTTACTTATAAAATGTATATGCTAGATTTTATTATTTAATGACATTATATTGACGTGTATTTATTTATTTATTTATTTATGTTGTTAGAGTCTCATATCAGCTACACAAAGTCTCATTCACTGGAATATATGATGGAATCTGCCATGTCTTCTAAAAGGCTATGTTGGAAAGAAAATCAAGGACACAACATATCTTTTATCGATCTAACTAACATGGTATCAACACATCTAGTATAAACCCATCGAGCCTTGGTCTAAGGAGGCATGTTAGAATCCCACATTGGCACACGGTCTCATTTATGTTGAATTGTGGAAAAAATGAGGTCTCGTTTGATAGTTGCTATCTGAGAAAGTGTTGTGTGGGAAGTGCTGTCTGGGAAAGTTTTCTGACTGGGAAAGAAACCATGATGTTTGATTGTACATTTGACTGACTGTGCGTAGACCTGGCAATGGGGCGGGTTTGGAGCGAACCGACCTTGATCCAAACCCTTTTAACAAATTTCAAAATCCAATCCAAACCCGCTTCGTAACCCACAGGGTTTTGAATAATCAAATCCATACATTTATCCACCGAATCAACGGATATCCAAACCCGCCCCTTAACCCATAGGATTTTTGAATTATCAAACATATTTTACTTAATTCATAAAATAATATTTCTTAAATAAAACAAATGTTGATTTAGAAAACACATTACGTGCTCGAGGACTTCCGACTGGAATTAAAAAACACTATTGTAGTAACTTCTGATTTATTTTTGATTGTCAATTGTAGTGATAGAGAATAACAATAACAAGCTTTCTTTCAGTTGATGAATGAATTTATTGATTTATGAATGAAATATGATGATTGCTTGATAAAATATAAATGAAATGACATCATAATTCTTAGTAAAAGACTGGAAGTCTAGAAGTCAACTCCTTGATTCTTATATATAAACAGTTTGGACTTTGGCATTTTCCCTTTGGACTTTCGATTAGAATTAAAATTAAACTTTAACCAATATAAAATATAAACCAATAATTCAAAAATTATACCGGGCGGGTTATAAACGGAGCGGATCAGTGATGATCCATACCCGACCCTTTTAATAAAAGGGTTAGCGGGTATGGGTCGTTAACGGGTAAACGAATCAAAAACTATGCTCCAAACCCATATAATTCTTAAGGGTTTGGATCGGATCAGGGTCAAAACCCGCTCCATTGTCAGGCCTAACTGTGCGGAATGATGAAAAATGATCATATTACCCTGATGTTCTATTCTGTGATCGATGAAGTTGCTAAATAATTATAAAAACATACAAATTATCACACAAAATCAAAGTTACACAATAATCATTTAAAAATCCAAATACAAATTGTCTTACAAAGTAATTAAATATAAATCAATTAAAATCCAAATAGAAACATACTCAAATTGAAAATAACATACTAATCTGCATACAACTCTAAAATAAACCGGGTGAAAGTAGTTGATTAGCATATATAACCAAAATTCAGCATATATATATATATATATATATATATATATATATATATATATATATATATATAAACAACATATATAACCAAAATTCAGCATGTGTGTACAAAAAACAACATATATATAACCAAAATTTTGCATGTATATACAAAAAAACAACATATATGTTCATAAATTCAACATGTATGTTTAAAAAACAGCATATTTATAACCAAAGTTATGCATGTATATACAAAAAACAACATTTATAACCAAAATTTTACATGTATATACAAAAAACAACATATATGTTCATATATTCAGCATGTATGTTCAAAAAACAACATATATTTTCATAAATTCAGCATGTATGTCCAAAAATCAACATGTTTGAACAACCCACAACATGAATGTATGCTTCAATAACCACAAAAACATGTTCTGATTTTGATTTTAACCACAAAAACAAGTATAATACATCAATTCTGAAAAACAATAAATTCTGGAAAAAAGAACTTGTTCGCAAAAACAAGTTTTGATTTTGATTTCTCTCATAATTTCGAAAATCAGGAAAAAAAGAAAGATGAATCGAAAACCCTTGCTGATGAATCGTGGAAAAAAAAAGATGAGAAACTTGCTAATGGATCGAAAAAAATAAGAAGATAATGAAACCTGTGGGGGCGGCGTTGGGCTGCTTGGCGGGAGGAGGTTGGCTGGCGACGACACGACGATGGAAGGTGGGTAGAGCTGATGATGATTGATCGAAGATGGGAAGATGGAGGCGTGTATGCGGTTTTTTTTTGTTAGGGCACAAATGTCTAACACGTCCTTTTTTTTCCATCCAATCTTGTTTTGTGGCTTTGTGGGAAAGATCATTCTTACCGGGAAAAACAGTTTTTTTTGTGCAAATCAAACGGTCTTTCCAGCCCATTCAGCCGGAAAGATCTTTTTGGGGCTGAAAAGACATTTATCAAATAGGACCTGAGTGCTTCTTGACTATGTTGTTATTGCAACCAAGCATGGGTCAAAATCAATATATAAAATCATGATATAATTGTAAACCTCGTTTCGAAAATAATAATAAACCTTTGGTTTTCAATTTTCCTTGGAGGCATAACTTACCTAAATCATGTGAACCATATAAATCTTGTGTCCTTTAATTCATCTTAATACATTAATATGATAAATAAACTAGATAGTTATATACGGCAATAAATAAATAAAAACAAATTAGACTAATTTTATTTACTATTTTACAATACAAGTCAAAAATTGGCTAAATACCAAAAGATAGCCAACTAATTTCGTAGATGTCTTCTATGATATTATCAAATGGGCTAAAAATCATCAATGAGTTGAGGAAAAGTCGTATTGGGCTTCGAAAAAGCGTTATTGAGTTGCGAATTAGACCATGTATAAGACATTTTGATTTCATATTTCTTCAATCTTTTATAATTCTTTTGGGTAAAAAATACCTTTTAAAAAACTCTAATTTACATCATTTAAAGCTCTTTTTCTTGTGGAAATGTTGTTTGAAGATTTTTTAAAAGGTTTCTTTTTAATTTGTGCAGGTCAAACAAAAGAAATTAAGAATTTTGTATAGCAGATCTCTCTCTCTCTCTCTCTCTCTCTCTCTCTCTCTCTCTCTCTCTCTCTCTCTCTCTCTCTCTCTCTCTCTCTCTCTCTCTCTCTCTCTCTCTCTCTCTCTCTCTCTCTCTCTCTCTCTCCAAAATTACATTATAATGCTTTTTTATATAATAGAAATGGTTTTTGAAGAATTCACCACAAAAAAAAAAACTTTAAAATACAAATAAATCATTTTTTCTGTTTTTTTTCACATGTACAACATGCATTTTCTAATGACATCTGCGAAAAAAGTTTATTTTTTATTTTGAAAAATGATGTTTCATAATTTCTTAACCGACTTGATGATTTCGTAGATGGCATCTGCAGTCGCTATTTTTTGTTTTTTTTTCTTGAAAAAAATGATAATAAGTTTTTTTAACAGCTGGTTAGTAGTTATAAATTAGTATCATCAAGTTAGTAGAAACTGTCAATGACCGAATTAAAACCCGCAACCTCTAATCTAAGAGGAAAGCCTCTACCTAGGGTTGCCAAGAGATTGAGCCCCAATATCTTTGTTGCAAGCCTTTCTAATATTGAAAAACGAATTATTATGTGGCTTGCATTTTCCATTTGAAAGGTCGTTTAAGATGGCCACGCGGATGGCTTAGTATTTAGGTATATTAGTTAAACTAATCATTTTTTATATAGTTTTAACAAAAATAATCTTCAGTTTCATACATTTAAAAACTGACTGGTTAGTCTAGAATTAGTTGTTCCATAATCGACGAAAATAAATTAGGACCCATTTGTATGATCCCCTCCTATATAATTGGGGCCCACATTCTACCAGAATGCCATTCTTAAATTTTTTTGAGAAATTTCGAACTCGAGATTTAAGTTTAGTTGGAAGAAGAAATGGATTCAACAAACCATATTAGTTTTATATGTTATTCTATTATGATTTTAAAACAGAAAGTGGATATCCCTCTATCCAAAATGTGGCAAACGAGTTTGGAATACGACAACCAATTCTAGAACGTTTCGTAATTTAAGGTTTGAATTTCTTCTTTCAGTATTTTTGTTAGATTCGTCACTAGGCGTCTTGGTCACCTTTAAGTAGTTTAAACAACCTTAGAAAAATATATATGGAATATAACTCTACTCCGGAATGCGAAGATTTGTACGAAATTTACAGTCCGGAATGGAATTTTCAATATATTTTCCATTAAGTTTTTTATTGTCGTTTGTAGTACAATGTTGTATTATTTTTAAGTAAGTAATTTTTATTTGCATACAAACAAATTTGGAGAATCAATCCTAAATATGAACGAATTGTGCATCTAATCAATTTGTGTAGGTGTTGCTTAAAAAACTGGGTTTTGCAGATAAAGAGATATTACACACCTACAAGATCTTTCTGAATTAGAACCGTGTAAGGTATGCTTTATTTTGAATGCATATAGTATAATCGCATTTTATTATACTTAAAATGTTATATACATTGTTATTTGTAAAGACAAACACCAGGTGTGGAAATAGAAATAGAGCCACACTCACCAAAGCTAAACGCAAAACTAAGGATGAAATGAGAGAAAATGTTAAAACTTAAACTGAATGTAAATAGAACTCCCAATAGCATGTGGGAATGGGTTAAGATTTGAAAAATGTTATTTTAGACCGGTGTAATTTGTTTTTAGATGTCGATAACTTCACAGACTAATTACCGTTTTATAATGGTCAATTATTTTCTTGGAACCAGAATAATGTTTTAAAGAATTGTACTTTTGTAACGTATTCTTCCACATTGATGCGCCATTTCCACCAACAGAATATGAAGTGATATGTGTTAAGATTAGACAATAAAGTATTGTGTATAAGACTGTGCCATTTCCACCGATGGAATATGAAGTGATGCGCGTTAAGATTAGACATTAGGGTACTATTGATAA